AATATTATGATCAGGGTCAGGTTTTTTATTAACTATTAATCCTGTGTCATCAAGAGGCATTTGTAGGAATTATTTGTTCATTGAAGTAAATGACCTAATAATCGACACATTCCATTGCACAATAGTACAAAACCTAGATATCAGTGTATTCATCTTCATCATTATCAGCAGCAGCAGCATCTTTTCACTGTTCTTCCTGGTCAGGGTCAAGGTGGCAGAATGCTCAGCAGGTGACACCAGATATCTTTTTTTACTGTTACAGTCCTTTTGTGGGGGATCCCTAGACATTCTCAGGCCATCTGGGTGATACAGACCCTCCAGCAGGTTCTGGGTCTTTCCCAGCTCCTTTGCCCAGTGGGATGTTCCTGGATGAGCTCCCTTGGGAGCCGTCCAGGTAGCATCCTTATAAGATACCCAGACCACCTCAGCTGACAAAGGAGCAGCTGCTCTACCCTGAGGTCGCATCAGACCCACGAACTCCTCACCCTATCAGGGAGAGTGAGTCCAGCAGCCCTGCTGTGAAACCTCATTTTGGCTGGTAGTACTGGCCACCTTGTTCTTCCGGTCATTACCCAAAACTTATGACCATAGGTGAGAACAGGGACTTACTCCTGCTTAACCACAATGGGCTTTCTCAGTCCTATTGAAACCATAGTCATTGTATTATTTTAGGCAAATGCTTTGAATTACTGACAGAAAACAAAACAACTGAAAATATACAGTAAAATCCAGTTATAACAGACTTCAAGGGACCTGGCAAAACAGTCCGTTATATCCAAAGTCCGTTATATCCAGAGTTGCTGTATGCCCAGAACACAACAACAGGACACCATTTACTCATGCCACACCCCAGCAGACACACTTGTGGTACAGATTATTATATTGTACATGTAGTAATTCAACCTAACCTGACCAGATACGTGACTATTAATAATCCTGACTACGTATCTACGCTGGATATCACCGGCACGCCACGCGCCTTGTTGGCGTAGCTGCATGTCTGTTATAGCCGAAGAAAACTACAGCTAAAAGCGGCCCTGATGACCAAATTGTTTGTCCGTTATAAGCGAAATTCCGATATATGCGAGTCCGCTCCTCGTCTGTTATAGACGATATTCCGTTATAAGCAAGTCCACCAAATGTAATCTTTTGGCTCCAGAATTCACCAAAGCAATGAATTTTTTTTTCCTCAGATTTTTTATGTCTTTAGTAACTTTTATGTCCTGCCATTTTTTCTATTATGATGTCTAGTGTCTGCCTTAAGCATTAACTGCACTGCCACTGTTCTGCAAGGTGAGAGGGGGAATCACTGAAGGAATGTGTTTATGAAGTTCAGTGTTTCACTGCAGGCTTTATGCTGAGATGTCTGATGGCAACGTTTCCCCCATAGCTGATATAATGGAGGCTTTCTATCAGAAGCCAAAGAAAAGGCCCACTGTCTAGCCATAGTGAAGAGACTCCAATTGATGAAAAAGATGGGACAGGCATAATTGAACATGCGCCTTTAAGACCCGGGATTCAGGACACAAATACCGGAATTAATAACATCCACCTATACAGAAGTCAGGAATTATTTCAAAGAAAAAGAAACCTTCCTTTTCCATATTCATTTATTGGAAAAATGTATACCTACAGAAATATCTATTTGTTTTTCATAGGTAATAAACACACAGACAATCCACTTATTCATATTTTTATTGGGACTCTAAATTTATTTCTGTGGCCAAAACCCTAATCACAACAATCACAACCTTTATTTTTTTGATTGCATTCACAGATTTTGAGAAATTTGAGGTTATACTTATGGGGCCAGAAATATGTCCCCACAAGGTAAAAAGTTGCAGGTTTTCATCACATCGTGGGTAAATTTGGTCCCCACAATGTAATAATTACAAACACACACAAATACACACATACAGTACACATCTGGACAATCAATCCTATATAAAACCTACAGTATCCTGTATGTTTTGTGACCTCTAACATTCCACAAACCCTCATTACCGTAGTAATTTTCTGACACTTGACATACAGAAAAAGTTCAGCAGTCTCATTTTCTCCTCGGTTTCAGATATCAGCGGGATATAGATATAGACACATTTTGGGACATTAGGAACCCACTCAGGCACTATTCTTATAAAATCCAATCCCATATAAAGAACTGTCCTTATCCTAAAGGCAGCTTCCATATTGTATTGGTACTGCAGTCTTATTAGTTTTTATATTTATTCATCTTATTTTATTCACTGCATTATCAATGCATGATTAAACAGTTGAGGAACCAAGAAAACATAGCATATGGCTATTTAAGTATTTTAGTGGCAGTGATTTTCTCTTAATTCTCACTGAGCGTAATCTAAGTTGTGACAAACTCCAGCTGTACTGAAGCCATACAAAATTGTGCTTCAGCTCCTGAACCTTATCATTTACTACGTTCACGGAATATGTTTCAAGGTTTGTTTTCCAATTTTTTTAATTAGACTACAGAAATTAAGCTTGCAGATTGATTCACATAAAACCAATAAAATGATTAGTGTTAGTGTATTTGCGTAACCTTCCAGAGTGTGAATAGTCACTTTGATAACTGTGATGTATTTGTTTGCCTCCCTCTCTCCCATATGCCAGTGATTAATATGTTATTTCAATTTGAATGTGTCAGGATGAAAATGGACTAGTATCAATAATACTTACAGCAGTTATTTCGCTGAATAATCCAGCTTTTCTATTTTGTGAACAAGACTGGAAATTAGTATCAATGATACACTATTTATTATTATTTATATGAATTCCTCTAACCTTCTCCATGTTACCCTAGAGAAAACAGGCCAGAAGCCATATCATAAACTTATTGGGTGAAGTTTAACCTGATATCGTGCATATTTGTTCACTGGTATGTACACACACACACAAACACACAGACACACACGCATATACATATACATAGCATTTACTCTTTTGTCTTTGATGTATAGACATTTATGTATGTACTTGGGAGTGTAATACTACATCAAATGTCTACAAACCCATGTGAACGCTAGTATCACCAAAAGGCCTTGAATGTCGAACTCACTCATACTGCTGTCTTTGTGGGGGAAAAAAATAAAAGGGGTGACCTACATTTTATCTCAAACTCCTGCCATCCCGCAATTAATACTGGGATGTGAGCAGGATTAGTCTGCCTTAGTGCAATATGACTGCATCACTGATTCAGGTTTCCAGTAACCGAATCCCGTCAAAAAAAGACAATGCAATATAAGGAGAGAAGACTTTGTTAGTAAGCACTAAACTGTTGGACGCCAGTAGTAACTGATTATCCTTCTTACCCATTTAGATACCTTTATTTTAGAGGTAACCATACATTTCTAAGGACCAAAAAGTGTGTTGAAAGTCTCAGAAAATGTCACATGTCTGCAAACATAATTTTCAAAGCCCAGGGTGCTTAGTCTGTGCTTTTAACATTGTGTGATGTAAATAATTTATGCCTCTCACTGTTATAATGAATATCAGTATAAACAGAGAGTGCACTGAGAAACATATAATTAATGTTTAATGTTAAATAAAAAGATATTTAATTAACACGAGGCAGAACACATATTTTAAATGAATGCACTTGCAGCATCTGACATGTAAATAAGCTTAATTCCAGCACAGGCACGATAGGTAATATGAAAACACATTTTCTCACGAGAGATTGCTAATGGTGTCCACAGTGTGGTGTATTGTTCGCTTCCCAAGTCACTAAGCTTTCACCTTCCCACTGATCTCCTAGGAGCATGCCATACCAATGGCGTGGAGCACAGAGCTGGGCTCCATGTCCGTGCCGGTTCACTTGCAGGTGCCTTTGTGGGCGCGCTGAGACAGACCTGTAATCTCCCACCAGCTGTCCCTGCCATTCCTCTATGACTAACCAGATTCATTGGCTACAAGAGCCATGGGACTCCATCCTCTTCATCCGCTTTGTTCTGACCGACAAGGAGAGCTAATCCTCAAGCCTGCACTGGGGCCTGTCATCTAGAGCCCGGAGCCCATGACAGCGAGGCACACAGGGCACCACAATAACACTCGACATGCATTTAAATTATCTTGTCATTCATGTATAACATGCCTGTGTTATGATCAGTTTGGACCTCCATGCTCTCCTAGTAGAAGCTGACATTTGTGTTGCTGTGTGCCAAATGTCAACTTTTTGATTATGTAATTGAATTAATTGTTTAACCAAAAGTCTAAATTTCATTACTAGTTCCATTTTTTATTTGTCTCCCATTACACGATAATCAGTTACCACTGGTGTCCAAAAATTCACATGAATTTTGCAAAGCAAAAAGTGTAGGGAAAAGAAACACAGTTCCGGAAATGTTGTACTTGAGCTAAAATCCATCCATCCATCCATCCTCTGTAACCACTTGACCTATTCAGTATAGTGGGGGGTTCAGAGCCTATCCCAGGTGCAAGGCAGGGAACAATCCAGGATGGGGGACTAACTCCTCACAAGGCGCACTCACAAACCATTCGCTCACACAACATTCACTCACACTCACACTCACACATCTTTCATTCACACACCATTCACTCACACTCACACACCATTCGCCCAGAGGAAACCCCACAACAACACAGGGTGAAAATGCAAACTCTACAGATGAAACCCTGGCAGGTGCTGACCACTGCACCACCATGCCACCCCTCTTGAGCTATAATAATTATACTTACTCCATGGTTTCTACTGAACTCTTAAAGGCCCATCACCCCTTTGTCCTACCCATTATTTAGCCAGATGCAGGGGAGGCCTGACATCAGATGGCGCCCCTGCCTAAATCCAATGCTGACTTGCAGGTTTTCCTGTTTATTCCTTACAATAATGGTGCACTGGTGCAGGTAATTAGCTCTTGGAGAGCAAAACCGTTACAGATTTATTCTTTGTTTTAATTCCAGTGAGTCATGAACTAGAATTTTTCTAACACCTTTCACCCTTAAGTTTTCCTTTCTCTTTTTGCTTTCAGGATTTCTTAGCACAGGTGACCAGGCTGCAAAAGGAAACTATGGACTACTTGACCAAATTCAGGCATTGAGGTGGATCAAAGAAAACATACAAGCCTTTAAAGGGGATCCTAAAAGGGTCACGATCTTTGGATCTGGGGCTGGAGCGTCTTGTGTCAGCTTGTTGACACTTTCTCACTATTCAGAAGGTGGGTAAATAGCACTGTCTACAGAGAGCCCATGATTTATGGCGCCAATATAAACAAATATGTTTATAACACAAAGCCGGTAGTCATTGTTGTTTGTACTTTCAAGTATTTTTTTTCTGATAATCTTACAAAAATGGATTTTAAAACAACAATTAACTTGACAGCGATGCTTTTCAGAAGTCAATGGACCTTGTCAGCATGCTAGGTTTTTAAAGCAGTTTTCAAGCAATTTTCCATGTTTGTCTACTTCCATTAAAATTCAATATTGTGTTATTGTACATTGTAATAAGTAAGAAACAAGGCATAGGAAGCCAATATTATATTTAACTTCATTCATCCTTCCAAAAAAACAGAACTTCACAATTAAATATTATCCCCGCATCCATCTTCCAAGTGTTCATCCAGCACAGGGTCTCACTGGGGTCTGGAGCCTATCCCAGGCAGTACAGGATACCAGGCAGGGGAAAACTTTGGACAGTGTGCCAACCTTGAACACAAACACGTACACAGATGTGTGTTTGTATTCATATGTTTGTACAAGTGACTATAACTAACCAAACAAGATAGAAGACTTTTGACACTTTTAGTTTTTTGATATCAGTTACAGATTTTTATAAAATTGAGTTTCCTCTTGTGGGAGCCAAAAAAATGGTCCCCACTACATCAAAATAACAGGTTTTATCACAAGGGTCTTTGATCTCCACAATGTAATATATGCATAATCCACACAGACACATGCACACGCATGCATACTAACGTATGCTTGCATTCATATCTTTGTGGGTACCATCTTTCTATGAGAAAAACCCTAATCCCAACAATGACAACCTTAACTCCTTAACTTAAATACAAAATATTAAATACAAAATACAAACAGATTTTTATAAAACGGAGGTTATCCTTGTGGGGACCAAAAAAATGTCCCAATAAACTAAAGGATTACAGGTTTTTATTATATTGTTGGCAAATCTGATCCCCACAATGTAATAATTCCAAAAACACAAATATGCCCGCACACACATACACAGACACACACATACAAACAATCACATACCATGGGCAATATGTAGACAATTTGCCTCATATGTAAATGTAGCATTTATAATTTATTAAGGCATAACAATGGCAATGGAATTTAAAAATTGTATGATATCATTTTGTTTAAAATAGATGTTAATTTATGTTAAATATTGACAGTCATAACAATGGTTGCTTGTTTAAACTAGTTTCTTGACTTCTGGTGCTATTCAGAATGATTGTTTATGAAGCATTAAGATGAAAACATATTCCTAAGATATAAACCTTCTCTGGCATACATGTCAACCCCAGATCTGCTAGAATGATTTAATGGTGTATTCTAAACACACTGGATGAGTTCCATCCATCTACAGATTGCTTTTCCTGGTGAGAGATGCAACACTGGATGACTTATCCTGTGTAATAGCATCATCCTTGCTGTGGGCCACTGAGTCCCTATACTTAGTGTAAAAGAATGAAATGAGTTTCTCTCTGTTTTTGTTGAAGCAAGACTTTTAATTAATTATCCTTGATTTAAATTGATTAAATTTCACATTTTATCACTCAGGAATTCGTATAATTTGAATGGTGTTAAACCAACTTTTTACCTAGTTAAGGTTGTTTTGTACTGATTTTATATGTAATATATAACATAAATGCAATTAATTTAATGATACTCATAAATTATTTAGTTACATAATTGATTAAAGTAGACTATTTAGTAGGCTACTTCCATTCATCTTCTAACCACTTATCATTAGGGTCATGGCGGGTGGGGGGGGCTGGGGGGGGGGTGTGGGGGGGTGGTTGCTGGAGCTTATCCCAGACAACACAGGGTACAAGACTGGATTCCAGTCAATCACGGGCACCAAGCCACCCACATATGTGGCTTATTTTGCTTTATTTAAATTGTGACATTATTGTACAATCTGCAAAGCATCCAACTTACTTTTAATTAATAATATATTGGTCAATCCATCCTACAGATCTTTTCCAGAAAGCTATCATCCAGAGTGGTACAGCTCTGTCCAGCTGGGCAGTGAACTACCAGCCTGCCAAATACACCCGGATGTTGGCAGAGAAGGTTGGCTGCAACATGCTTGACACCATTAACTTAGTGGAATGTCTCCAAAACAAAAACTACAAGGAGCTCACAGAGCAGTCCATCACTCCTGCAAAGTACCATATCGCCTTTGGACCCGTCATCGACGGGGATGTAATACCTGATGACCCACAGATATTGATGGAACAAGGGGAGTTCCTGAATTATGACATCATGTTGGGGGTCAACCAAGGAGAGGGATTTAAATTTGTGGATGGAATCGTGGACAGCGAGGATGGTGTGTCTGCTAATGATTTTGATTTTGCCATCTCCGATTTTGTTGATCACTTGTATGGCTACCCAGAGGGGAAGGACACCCTTCGAGAAACTATCAAATTCATGTACACAGATTGGGCTGATAAAGAGAACCCAGAAACCAGGAGGAAAACACTGGTTGCACTTTTTACAGACCACCAGTGGGTGGCACCAGCTGTGGCTACTGCAGACCTACACGCTCAGTATGGTTCACCTACCTACTTCTATGCCTTTTACCATCACTGCCAAAGTGACATGAAGCCCAGCTGGGCCGACTCGGCACATGGAGATGAGGTTCCATATGTCTTCGGAATCCCTATGATCGGCCCAACTGACCTGTTTAACTGCAATTTCTCCAAGAATGATGTGATGCTAAGTGCTGTGGTCATGACCTACTGGACCAACTTTGCCAAAACAGGGTGAGTCAAATAATACAATCTTCTCTCACTCTTTAGCTGTGCAACATTCGGGTTGCGTACAATTGTACAATTGTTATCAAAAGCAACCAAGGCTTTGACAGGGCCCTGTATGTATGCAAATGGTTGGATTCAGTTGTTAGATTTGTCTCAGTTAAGAATAGCTATTTTTAATTTGTCCATCCATCCATCTTGCATAAACACTGTTTGGAGCCTGTCCTAGAAGGGAAAGGGGACTCTTTGGAGGGAATACCAGTCTATTGCACACAGTAACACACCAAAAAGGGTAGGTTTTGGTCCCCTACTTCCAGTGAGAACCCATGCCTCCTATATAACTCAATGAACTAGCACACAAACATGCTTCCCAAGACATTTGAGGTCCCCAAGGAAACAGGTTGCTTGCAGTTACTATAGAATATAAGATGTAATGGCATTTCAGTCAAAGCTATTATACAGTACCTTACAGCTGTTTGGGTGAAATAAAAGCTTTTGTATGATGTGATTCTAGGAACAGCTGGCATGTGAGATGGGGTGAATTAAAAAAGAAATATCAAGGAAATGATTTCACAGGCAATCTCACTAATGTCCCAGGTAGACTTCAAAACAATTGCTTTTGTGTTCCCATCTGAGACTTTATTTGAGGCACATAAATAGCAAAAATCATGCTGAAGTTCACAAAATTAAACCTTCACCAGCTAATTACAATACATAGAGCATCTATTTAAATATTGTACCTTTTTAAATTCTTGTTTAGAATAGGAGACTACCTTAAGATACTACTGCATGCAAGCGTAAAGCAGGAATGTTTTTGCCTGTATATGCAACACTCTAATATCTCCATGCTTGAGTTAATACTAAGTGACAGTAATTAACTAAATTATAAACCAGAAAATGAAAGTCACAGCAGCAACACAGAAGTCATCAATTCATTTTCAATATCCAGGGGCTTCGGAAGGGACACATTCAGGAGACCCAAAATCCCCCCCCAGTCGGGAAAATCAATTGAGAGATTAAAATTGTCAACCTGAGTAGGCGGCCCAAGGTGACATTTTCTCAGGGGGCCCGGAATGTTTAGCTACTCCCCTGTTAATATCTGACTACTGTCTGTTTAGAGAACCATCAGTCTGGATCCTGAGACCAGTCGTCTGCCCATTACCAGGTCCAGGTCTTCCTATCAGAAGGATTTGGCCTGTGGTAGGGAACTAGAGCAGGGCAGGAAACATGACATAAGCCTACAAAGAGCTTGCGCCAGATTTGAGGCCAAGGTATTCAAGGTGTAACTGGGTTATCATCAAATATAGCTGCTCTAGAGCTTTTGTTGATATTAAAAAGTTGCCTTAAAGCAGTTAAAGCAGGAAAGTGGAACATATCTAAACACCGAAATCCTAATTAAAAGACCTTACTGAAAGTAAAGCTACAGTAACCAAAGACATTTAATTGGCTCATTTCAGAACCAATCAGCATTCTATAAAATGTTTTGAAGCAATCCACATCCAACATGGACTCCTGGCTTCTCCAACTGTCTGAGCTTCTGACTCTCTTTCCAGTATATCTTTGTTTAACTTACTTTTAGATGAGCAAATGGCAACCTTGCCTTTTAATGTACATTTTCTGTTTCAAGTTTTTTTTTCTTTGCATGTAGTTGCAGCTTCAGTGGTCTTAACTTCTGGTCATGGCTAAGGATACAGTGAAATTCATCATAATTGCATTTGCTTAATTACTTAATAGTGGGAAAGTTGGTTTGCAAAGTATTATGTGAAATAAATAATGTTAATTATTAGTTCTAGCACAGAAATGTTTTAACTCTCCCTCTGAGCGTCACAAACAAATAGACACTTTTTAATGCATACACCTACATGCTGAGAATATAAATACAGTAACACTTTTTGTATGGAAAATGATTTCTGAACACCATAAAAAATTCTCTCAAGGATATCAATCCAAAGATTAAACATATGTACTGTAGGACAAAAAAAGATGTTTTACATCACAGTAGACATCCATTTAAATCCTTATAGAAAATGCTGGGAGATTTTTACCTGACTGTACAGTAACTAGAGGCTAGTCTTAGGAAAAACCTTCACTTTTGTACTTTTTCACTGATTTCCTGAATTAAACAAAAGGGAATTCTAAGATATTACGCCCAGATGCAATGTGACTCATAGGCTTGGTAAGTATGGAGTTACACTTACTAAGTTTAGGGTGGGATGGTGCCGCTGTTGCTTCACACTTCTGAGACCAGGGTTCATGTCTCTCCCCGGGCTGTAGTGGAGTTTGCATGTTCTTCCCATATCATACTGATGTGAATTGGAGTTGCCAGACTGTCCGTGTGTGTAAATGGTGAGTGTGCCCTGTGATGGGCTGCTGTCCCATCCTGGGTTATTCCCTGCCTTGCACTCGTAGCTTCCGAGATCGGACCCCCCATGACTTTTCAAAGGAAAATTGATGGATGGACATAATAAGTTCAACTATTAAAAAAATAAAATAAAAAGTAGTACATTTGGATATGACTACTGGCAAGTTTTTTTTTTAACATTTTAATTTGCCATTTCTTAAATTGGTAAGTTTTATTGTTTTTATTTGACTATGGCAAATAAACTAATATCAGATTACACAGATGTAATTGGCTAAGTAATTTTTTTGATAAAACATCAGCCTCTTCTGAAGAGTCCTTATAAATTTTGCTTGGTACAATTACAGTGGCATTTCTGTTCATACTATATAATACTAACAAGTTACAATAGTTTTTCAGGGGTTGTAAAGCCTAAAGACCACTACCAAAACGGCATAATTTGGTGAGAAGAAATGTTAAATCAGCCATAACAAGAGACGTTAAAACCATCTTAGCCAAAATCCTCAACAAAGACACAACTCACTCAATCACAAACACATTCTGCAGCAACTCAACAAAGACACACTTTTTATCGCCGCCTAGCTGGTCTTTTCATCCTCCACTGGATAATGAGGGCCGGCTGAATCTCATTATCCTAGGTATCAAGGACATGTATTAACCTTAAAATAATGTTCGGATATATATAATATAAACAAATAAATATGAATATATATAATATAATTTCAATAGCACATTGCATTAATCACAACTTTTTCTTTTATTTCTGTAGAGATCCAAACCAGCCTGTTCCCCAGGACACAAAATTCATCCATACAAAGCCAAACCGATTTGAGGAAGTGGCCTGGTCGAAGTACAACCCGAAGGACCAGCTCTACCTACATATTGGCCTGAAGCCCCGAGTCAGGGATCACTACCGGGCCACCAAGGTTGCCTTCTGGTTGGAGCTTGTCCCACATTTGCACAATATAAATGAACTATTTCCTTATGTGTCCACAACAACGAAGATTCCCCCACAAGACACGACCCCCTTCCCATACACTAAACGGTTTCCTGGAAAGACGTGGCCGTCCACCACTCGTCACCCCGGTGTCCCGCCAGCCAACACTAAGCAAGTGACTGACCAGCGCAAATCAGGGGAGCTGGACGAAAATCCCATCCTCATTGAGAACAAACGTGACTATTCTACGGAGCTCAGCGTGACGATCGCAGTGGGGGCCTCACTTCTCTTCCTCAACATCTTGGCCTTTGCCGCCCTTTACTACAAGAAAGACAAGCGGCGCCATGAGTCGAACCGGCGGCCCAGCCCGCAAAGGAATGCGGCCAACGACATCGCTCACATCCAGAATGAAGAGATCTTGTCCCTCCAGATGAAGCAGCTGGAGCATGACCACGATTGCGAGTCTCTGCAGGCACAAGACACACTCAGGCTGACCTGCCCCTCTGATTACACCCTGACACTGAGGCGATCCCCAGACGACATCCAGCTCATTACGTCCAGCACCATCAACATGATACCCAACTCCTTGGCTGGAATGCAGTCCCTGCACACTTTCAACACTTTTACTGGGCCTCAAAACAGTACTAACCTACCCCACGGGCATTCTACAACAAGAGTATAGCTCTGTCCAAGCAACTATACTCTACAAGGCCCGCAATGACAAGTATTGCTTTCCAAATCAGAATGATCACAGATAGTCAGATATTATTTTACTACCGAGCCTTCTTAAAGAAATATATCAGAGTTTGACTTGACTTGCCTGTGAAACGTGACAAGTGAATGTCACCTTAATTCAGACTTTTGCCTCTGGAAGGATCAAACTATGAACAAGCATTCATTTGATAACATCTATATAGAAGACATACATATTTCTGTGTGTAGCAAGTGATAATGAGTTTAACACAAAGCTTTGTATGTGCCATAGACTGAATGACAAGAACAACCAAGAATGATTGTCTTGTATGTGATGAGTTTTGAACATACCAGTAAAAGAATTTGAATTTTTAAATGGACTATGCATTTAAATTGGTTGACATAATCAAAGTAAAAATTTCCCAGCCTGAACTGTATTTATGAGACTTTGTAAAAAAAAAAAATGTACATAGTTGTGCGTAAACACAAATACAAAGCAGAAGAAACGACAACAATACAAATAAAATAATTTTAATGTGGTTTTGAGTTAATATATGGCTTTTAAACAGCTTGTGCATTAAGTTGAGATGTGTGTAAATATATTTGTCTGACTTTTTCATTTTGAAGAAAAATTAAAAAGATATATATGATGCCATTAATTTCCTTGGGAGCATATATCCTACAGGTCATGGCTGAATTTTTCCATTGCCATATTTTCCATTATTTTATATTGCATGTTTTAGCATTTAGCTTTATAACAATAAAATGACGTGGAAACGCAGCTGCTGTCTTTGGCTGACGGCATGGCTGTGTATGTGAACGGTGACTACACACAAACATACAAATACCCACAGGCTTACACATGTGCCGACACACACACACACTATGCTTTCTGTTTTTTCACCTTAAGCTCCATGCTATAGTTTCAAAGGCCTGTTTTTTTGTTTGTTTGTTTTTTTTTAGCAATCTAAACACTGCCTAAATTCACCGCTTAAAAATTACCAGCATTGTATAATTTAGGAAAAGGCAGTGGGTTTTCGTATTAACGTAAGCAATGTTTGTAAAGAAATGTAGGTTAGATATTTCAAATTGTCATATGCTAGCAATACGTAGTATTGTGCCAGGCTTGTATTACATCGGGTTTAAAAGAAAATAAATGAGTTTTAATTATAATAACAGTAATAGCTGACAAACTAACCCAGATTCTTTTTTATTTATCCAGAAAACTGAGCAAAATCCACAAATAAGCAGAAATATTATAATTATGACAAATATTACAATACTGTATTCTTTGTAGACTGTATACAAAAAAAACTTAAGTAATTCTTCAGTTTTTATGGCACAGTCTTTTCAAGTAGGATATTATATAATTTTTTTTTCTCATAATTATTTATGTTTTGCCTTAAGTGATAGATATTTCTGGCTGAACACCTGTATAATTTTTTTCTGCATTTTTAATAAAATACAACAATATTTTCGAACTTGGTGTTTATGTACATATTTATATAATTTCATTACATGACAGTGGGTTTGCACCTGTATTTAAAGGAGTGAAATTATGTGTGATAACGCCACATAATATGATTTGTGTTTCTGATTTCTTACCCTATTTTAAACTAGCCATTTTGTTTATTTAATGTCATGGACCAAGCTTAAATTCTGTGTTGACACCATGTGGGTTGGCTGAATTTATTGGAATATCAAGAATATTTGTTTTTGTTCAGTTTGGTTTCTGCTCTGTTTGGTTTCTTGACTTTGCTTTTAACACCATTGAGGTTTGCAGATATACCACGATGGTGGTCTTCACTCAGATTGGTAAATATATCTAACATTTACAATGTTATGTAAAGTAAATGTCATTATAAGAAAGGGGCCACACTGGAAATTGCAGAGGATTTAGCAGTGTATGATGTTCAAAATAATTTATCTATAAAACACAAGTAAAACATATGGGACTACACCGGTTAAAATGCCTTACATAAGACATGTAAGAACTGCCTGCATTCTCATCAGTGCTGCATGCAGATCGGCCAGGGTAACCCTGTAGCTAATCAAGCCTTTATGAACATAGGAAGGCCATCACCACGGCAAAAAGATATTTATATATATACTGTATACTATATATTGGGGGAGGGGGGTTCATATACACATTAATGCAAATAAAGTACCCTTCACAGGGCTATTGTGAAACTATGAAAATGGAAAATGTTGGTCTCATGTTGTGCATAGCTACTGTATAGGGATCCCTCTGTGTGGCACAAAGAGTATAATGTTATGGTGACCTTTTGGAGGGAAGGCAGCTGAGCAGCTGTAAATGAAAGACGTTATGTGGCGATTGTCGATATTGTTCAGGGTAATGATTATTTTGAGCTTTGGGTGCACTTATCAAGACCTACATGTTTCAGCAAGTACAATGATTATGTAAAATGTTTGTCAAACAATATTAATAACATCGAAAACCATAATTACCCTTTCTAAAAAAATATTCGACACAAAATAATACTTAAACACACATGATAGATTTTACAATTTCCAAAAATATACTCAAATGTTAATTTATGACTTCATTCCCATAAATTAAAACGTCAAAAGAGCTAATGTTAAATTTCAAAAGATTCAACTACAAGTGGGATTAAGTCACACATTATTGATTGGTTCAGAGCAACCAGGTTCCTCCAATTAGACCTACATGTATGTATAGATCTGTCAGAGTAGCTGGGTGCTGTGTGAGAACTCTTTCTATGGTCCGAGGATAAAGGGTTAATTTGCTTACACTTTGGTATAAAACAATTATGTGAAACATGCCGGTAAGCTAGCAATCATTTTGTGTAACTCAACCGTCACGCTCATGCATATACATTACACACACACACACACACATACAGAATATTATATATATATAATTAAAAATGTAACAGTATGGATGCTGATAAACATTGGCATAGATGTTGCTGTGAAAGGAATTGAATACGTCGGCTAAAACTTTTTTCGCCTTCGGTAAACAGGTTAGACGGCAACCAAATTCTTTAGCCAAATGTGTTCATATTTTTAAAAGCAGAATCCTGGAAATTATTAGGTAGGACAAACACCACTGTTCTGGATATAGGGTAGGGTGAGTTTCACCCGTCCCCCCCATGAGAAACACCCCCAGGAGTTCTGGAGACGAAGGAAGCTGTCAGTCCTAAACTTGCCCTAGTAACGTCTCTAGTGCAGTGAGTTTCTTCAAGATTAAAAGGAAGTTAACTGATAACTGGAGATTCACATCTCTTTCTCCCAGTCACATGTCTAACTTTACACACACACACAGAGGTTTGTAATTATATCTTTGTGGGGACATTCATTTCTATGGGGAAAACTCTAATCCCAACATGACGACCTTCAGCTCTACCCCACCCCAGCCGTAACCAAACAAAATACAAGACTTTTGGCATTTTTAGTTTTTTGATTACATTCACAGATCATTGTGGGGACTTGAAAAATAGTCCCCACAATGTCATAATAACAGACTTTTATTACATTGTGGGGATCATTTTGTTCCCACAGTGTAAAATAAACATAATCCACAGACACACACACACACACACTACTGTTCTGTAACTTCTATTGTAGATTTTATTGTTTTATTGAATACCATTCATAAACTGTCCCTCAGTGGAACCTTTTACTTCACAGGGAGTAATTTTATATTCCTTGTTTAGGTCTACCATTTTCGTTAAAATAGAACTGATGCCTTTATAATTTGCTGTTTAAATGTCTTTAAATTCTGTTTCCCTTATGCACAGGGGCAATAGGAAGTTCTATTGTATCTGTCATGCTTAGAGTTTGACAGTATTAAACGTTGTTTTGAATATACTATTAATACTGCAAATAAGAATTATATACGACTAAATGAAGCTACAAGTGAAAACACAAAAAGTCTAAATATTAAGTTCAAGGATAAAAAGCACAGGCACACACACATTCACACACAATCACACACTAAGGAAAATCATAGGTAGAGATACAAATTCAGCTAACTGCATGACTTTAGACGTTGGGAGGAAAGGTTCTCAACACAAACAGAATATGCATGGAACTCCACAGTTTCCATGTTCACTTGGCCCGGCTGTCTAATAGTGTAAGATGAAATAACAGAGTAATGTAAATTAGTGTCAAAAAGTGAGATTTGTTGCCATAGTGTACAAGACAAGCAATATATCTAAGTCTAATGTGGGAGATAACCATTCCCACTTAAGTTTTACGCCCATTCATTTAGCTGATTCCCATTTAACCGGACCTCAGAATCATTTCATTGAAAGAATAAATTTGCTTTAATTTTTTTTTCATTTCATATTTTACACATAAATGTACCGGTCTGTTATTTTCAAAAGTGAAACACTTCTTTTATTTCTGAGTTGCTGTGTGTTGCAGTTTATTCTACACATTATAAATATTGTCCTGATGTGTTGTGCTTACTAAATGGAGAAGGATTAAATAAACCTCTATTAGACATAGCTGTTTTCTCAAATAAACCTTCAGTTCCCCGAGCCTTGGGGCTTTTCTGATGTGCAGCTGTTACATAAATGAAAAAAATCTCCGCCAGAGCATATGAGGGTTATTGAGACAAACATGTTTTGTTCTACACTGAAAGAAAAAAATTCTAAACCAATATCAGAGCACCCCCTAGAGGCATTACTGGTCATTTTAATAATTCCCAGGATCATTTGCACATATGTGTAGTGATATGCAAGTGTGATTAGCAGTAACGACATTAATCACATTGAGAAACATTCCATAAAGCAGGTGAATAAGAAAAAAAATCCTAAACTTCTTTTCTGTATTAAACTGCAAAATGCAGGTAGGAATTTACAATTCTCTGCTAGACTCAAGACTAAAACTTACTACATATGGCATTCAGATGGGAAAAAAATAAGAATCTAAACTTATTCAGTATTAAAGGGCTTGGGATATGAATTATTGAGGAGAGATGTATTTAGACTCAACATCTGAATACTTAGAAATGCGTGTAATGGAATTTACTTCTGCAGTAAGTGTTGCTGTTGTTGCATTTTTATTTCATAATGAGAATCAGAATCAGCTTTATTTTGGCAAGTACATGTACAATTATGCAGAAGCACTACCATTCAAAATATTTATAATCTTTATAGTTCTACTTAGTGCTTTGTAGTCATATTGGTTGACATTGAGCATTATTTATTATAAGATGTCTGTGGCAACAACCAGGCTTTAAAGGGGGTATTGCATTAATCACTAGCTACCAGTTATTCCATAACAATCCGTGTTTGTGATCAACTGCTCCTTTGGTAGATACCTTTGGTAGAACCCAAAAAAGGTTACATCATTTCACAAGTTAGGAAAAAGATGGTGATGAGCGTACTTGTTTTGCCATGGCATACCATGTCAAAGTAGAGAGATCACAAAACATCTTCATCATTAATGAATCATGACGACTCATTTATTTCAAGCAGTTACCATACTTGTTACTATGTGTGTTATTTTTTTAGACCTTTGTGAACTACTGAAGGAACAAATAATTAACACAAAAAGTGAAATACTGATCTCATGTTTGTTCATCATTAATAAGTCATCATATCTTTTACCTCAAGTAACTGCTACATATGTTCATGATTTGTACAGTACTTCAGTAGTAAATGAGTTACTACTAAGTTACTAAGGAACCATTTTGTAAAGTGTTACCCATCTTCTTTAAGAAATATCCTACACAGCGAGGTTAAATTGGCAGTGGATGGAGGGCTCATATTCTGTCCCTGGAGCTCTTTGTCATGCTAAGACAGCTACAGTTTGATACGGCTTTGGCACCCAACTGGAATCCCCTCGAGAACCTTTCACCTGTAACCAAATGGTCACTCTGCTGGATGAGCTCCCATGGCAAAGTTGGGTTTTAGAACTACTTCGCTTCATAAACACGTGCTGCTTTTATTCTAAGCCAAATGCAATTAACTAGACTTCTTTTGCATTAGAGTGCACACACTTTCCTACTGAAAACACAGTAATCTGACACCAAGACACTTTTAGCCATTTCCAAACACGCCCATTCAGAAAGCCACACCCATGTGCCCATTATGCAAACACGAACGTCACCTGGTCAAGCACCTGACTGCTTATTAGTTAACTCAGCAATCAGAATGTGAGAACTATAAAACTCCACAGATTTACCAACACTAAAGAACAATGGAAGCCGGAGGGAGAGGAAGAGACGTTAGAGGTAGAGGACGCGTAAGAGGAAGAGATAGAGGTAGGGGTGCACAGAGAGGTGAAAGAGGACAAAGACAAAGAAGACAAGCACTTTCCAATGAAATACGGGCAACATTAGTCGGCCATGTTATAAATCATGGATTGACAATGAGAGGCTGGACAGAGAGTCCAACCCAACCTGAGTCGATTTACTGTTGCCTCTGTCATCCGGACATTTCGGCTTGAGAACAGGTATGTTCTGTAACACCCACTCTGTATATATACAGCAATTCAAAGTATCTATGTATATTGTATATACAGTAGGCTAATACTATACATTAAAAATGAAACATACATTCTATATTTACAGTATTCATGTATGTATTCTTTACTTGTACAATACTACTGCATAATCCCAGAACCAGAAGAAGGGAAAGAAACATAATAGG